TACTGCTTATTCTGAAAATTGTGGTAAATTATTCACAGCAGCACTTCAGCCCTAGGGTTTTATTGTCAGGAAAGCTGGCCCAATGCTTAGCCTGATTTAACCCCGGGAAATTTTACAAGTGTTTTGGGGAAATTATACTTCTTTTTTCTTATAGTCTGTGGGTTTTGAAGACACAGTTGCTTGGCCATCAACACTGGCTCAGCACATTCCGCAGAAAATTTGACATAGACAAACAGTTGCTTGCGATGTGGATCACACTACAGAGTCTATACTGATTTTTATCACCGGTTTTGTGCTGCCTGACAATTCAATTTAACCTGATACTTAACCAAGCAAGATTTCTGTGAGCAGATCTGAACCAGCGTGCTGGGGTTTAATGCTGCTTTGTGTCACAAGGCCTAGATTTATATATCACCAAATCGTGGTTTTAGTTAAAGGTCAGTCACCTCTCAATATTAGGTTATTTTCCCAGGCAAAACCTGCGGGTTTGGTTTTCCAGAACAAGACAGGCTGTGATCTCAGCCTGAATTAGGGCAGTTAGTATCTACATGAATCTAAAGCTGCACACATCCTGTGACAACAGAAAGTTAGCAGTCCCCCCTATTCTGTGAATGGCTTCTCTAGCAATAAACCTAGTGGGAAGAAAGAAAACATTTTATTAGCTGCTTTAACGCACAATTGTCTCATTCACCGAAGGTAAGGCAAATTCACACCTGTTAACTACTCTCCTTAGCGGTGAGCTGCACTTCAGGCCAGAAGGGGAGAAGTGGCTTAGGTGTGACATACTTTTGCACAAAGCCATTGAAATGCACCTTCTGGATGTGGCAACGTTCTCAAATTAGCCTGAGCACTCCACCTTGTTTATGGAGAAGTTGCATCATCATTTGGATAAAGCAGGAGTGAGGCTACCTCTGAAGACGTGGGCACATGGGTGCATACACAAGAAAGAACCCGCACGTATACATGTTTGTATTTGCATATGTGATCTGAAAGGGACCGGTGATAGTCCACAGGGTTCGGTATCCGTGGGAAAGCCCTGGAACTTATATAGGCACCCAGCCACTCCTCTCTTTCCGGGAGACAAAGTCCTATGAATAAGGACTATGAATAAGTACTACCCTTCACGAGTCTTTCAAGAAATTGCCTCATTTCCTACACCGAGGACGAGAAACTATAGTAACTACCCCAGGCAGTCTGGAAACAACATCGAGTGTTTCAAACAGAATGCCTCATATAGAGCAGCATTTTCAAGCCTGCAGAGAGGATAGAGTAGAGTAGAGGCTTTTCGGTTGCTTACAACACTGCTGTGCTCCAGTTTCCTCAGGGCAGGCACATTTATCTTGTCCCACCAAAGGAAACCGTCCCAGACCAATTTCCCCAAGCCCATCCCCCCTTCTGCCCATCCGAAGACATCCAGTGTATCTATCCCTCCTCCTGCTTCAGTACCAACAAGTACTTTCCATCATCTATGCCTTGTGAAAGCTGTGCCACACAAATCCCTTAAAACAAACATTTCTACAAACAGGAGACCACTCTCTTGAATTCGTACTCCCTGCTGTTAGTTCTCCTCCACGATATACTGACACCTCACTGCCATCTCACTGCGGTGTTTTCAGGACCAGGCTTAGTGGTCTACTCACCTTAAGCAGTACAGTGTGACTGCACATACCTCACATGCATGGACCACTTTAGTTCCAAAATTGGACCAAATGTTTTGTCATGTGGCTGAGCACAACCCTGGGGTTGGATTCTCTTCTAAGGTTGTCTGAGTCATTCTCCCTTTGAAATACTGCTTTCCATATGCCTGTGGGTACAAAACATGAGCTGCGTTGCTAGAGGAGCATCACACTGATCCCATGCTATGGAGAGGATGCAGAGATCCTTGAGCTGTCAGAGATCTGAGCCAGCAGTTCTCGAGCTGCAGAGCTGAGCACTGTCCAGATGCTCCACAGGGAATGGTTGAGGGCATTCTGCTTCCAGCCCAGGCAGGTCCTTGCTGTGGCTGTACCCTCTGAGGCTTGGAGCTGGAGGCAGGGCAGACGTGACACAATGCTCTTGGTCCTTTAATATGTAGCTCTTCATCTATATATCTCCAAATTTCAGTTCCTGGGGTGTGATGTTCTTGGTGGCAGCCTGAATATAAAATCTGCACTCATTCCTTTTTGTTTCTGCTCTTTACAGGGACAGCTCTTCAGGGCCAGGTGGTCTCCTTGTGGTCTTGGTACAGTGCATCACAACAGGGTTTGCTACAAGCCTTGCTTTCTCCTGCTGCTGAGGTGGTGCAACATGGTATAACAATGCTCACTTTGAGTCACCAATCCTTTTTCAGACTGGCCATGCTGAAGACAACTCCTATTCCCTCTAAAACCCTGGCTGTTGCTGTTTGGTGTGTCACCTAACATATCATATTCTGATTTAACCAAGACTCCAATGTATAGAATTTCTTATTTTGGAATTCTTACATATTTCAGTTAATGAATAAGAAGAAAATTCACCTTTATTCTAAACCAACCCAAAATGAAAAAGGCAACAAAAAAAGGAGCCTACTTGTACTTAATTGTTATTCTAATTACAAGTTGTGGTGTAGTGTAAATTTTTTCCCTTGGCATTATTATGAACCTCATTTCCTTACAAAGTCCAGGATAAACAATTCTAATATATTTTGTTTTAATTATCAGGGTTTAATGGGGCATAATGAGACTATGTTGAGTGGCGCAGAAAAAAAATAATTTAATGTGTGCAAAACTACTGAGTGCTCCTAGCTTGCCTGTGCATATTTCACCTATTGTAGGGCAGCACTATGTTAGCTATATTCAGTGTGCCCATCATTTATTTATTAATCATACTTGCTTTTCAGTAGAAAATTTTCCTTTTTTTTTTCCTGGATTCTGAAACAAGAAGAAACACATTAAGATATCCTAGAAAAAAATCGAACAATTCTCTAGGTTGAGTAGTGAAGGATGAAGCTGATACACAGCTGATGGTGCTGGAAGCATTTGTCATGCATGGACAGAAGATGAGTATGTTGGACACAGACACTGCCTCTGCCAGTCTGCTCCAAATGCTGTCCTTCTTACAGTGTTACTTGGCTGTGAAAACTTATGACTTCAGTTCTTAGGGCCTCTACCAAAAGAAGTACAGCTGATATCAGCTGAAGTCACCATTCAGAAGTGACCTTGTCTGGACTGTCACTGTAGATACATTTTCCCACTCCCAAGGTGTGGTTCCTACAGACTTAAACTACCACAGGTACTTCTGCAGTGAAAAGGGAAAAGTGCAAAAGAGCAGCCTGGGAAATAAACCAGTAAAATGTGATCCTTTATGACCCTTTAAGCTTTCCAAGGTCCCTTTGCCAATGCCAATTGCCCAGCCATGGCTGGGTGTGGCTGATGCAGCAGTTAGAACCACCCCGCTACCAGATTTGCATTTCACTTCACTAGGGTGACCATACACCAAGATCAAGATGCTTTCATTTCAGGAACAATCCCTGGATCCTTCCTGAAGAGACACTCATTTATTCTGCTTATCCATTATACTTCTTGACACAGAATCAGAGGACTAGATACAGTACTCACCATAGCCATTGGGAATGTCCTGTCTTCTGCAGAAGTATTTGATTCAGGCCTCTCGGGAGGAGGTTCAAATACAACGTACAAAACAGACCAATGTCACATTACATTTATTTAAAAAATCAACATTTTATATTACAGATTAAGTTAATATACCCAAAGTGTTTGGGTTTTAAATAAAATAAATTTATTATAGACATCAGTATTTACAGAAAGAAAAACATCACATAAATATATATATATATTTTTTTTAAATCTCATTGGAGTAAAAAAATTCTCCATAAAGTTTCTACCCATGAGAGATGTCACATTCTGTGAGAAATCAGCCTCCTTCAAGGATTAATAGAGACAAGAAACCTAACCTGGATAAAGGTACAACTCAGTGAATTGACTGAGGAACTGTACTGGGCTAGTTACTTGCATGAAACTGTAGCAAGACTGAAAGACCTCAGGGGGCCCCTTACAAGTCTATGTCCTATTCTTCAAGGAAGAATGGAAGGGAATCATTGAGTACATTCCACCAAACTTGCCTCAGACACAGGACCAGGCCAGCATCCAGCATGTTCCCATGGACCTCCAAAGCTTAATGGTTTTCTTCCTGCTAAACTATGAGTATTCTGGATTGTAGGATCCCATTGTACAACCACTGTGCAAACACACAAAGACAATCTCTGGTGCCACACAGCTGAATAGCCACAGTAGACCATGGTGGAAGACAATAATTTTACAGAGGAACTGGCTGACCCTTCATTATAGAGTTGCAGCCCTGAGTTAGAAGCCAAATGTGCTGATTCCCAGACAAATACTGACTTTTGCATTCCCTCAGACTGGCTAGCAAGTACCATGGGGACTTACAAGGAGGTTTCTGCATTTGGTAGAGCTGCATAAAGCACAGGGAAGAAGTGCTTTTCCCAATAATGCATCATCAGCAGGTGGTAGAGGCCTCCAAGATGAGCTGTGGGCAAAAACCCTGAAAGCTCAATGTAGGAATGTACATCCCTACTGGATCATGCAGCCAAAACTGAATAAGGTTGTGTTACTAAGACACCTACACCCCATCCTGGTTTGAGGTAGGATACCACACCTGTTAAATCACAGAAAATTCTGAGCATTAATATACAGAACAAGACCTTAATTTGAACAGTCAACTTGATCTGTTTCAACTCCTTCACATAGGAAGTCCTGATTTTAATAGTTTCCTCTGGTGTACAGGCACTCAAAGAGCTCTCCATGGAGGTCTTGAAGTTCACAACTCTTTGAAAGTCAGCCACCTTTCCACAGAGCCATGGTAAGAGGAAAAGGATTTAATGTACAGATAAGTTTCTGGCTCTCCTGCCCTGTAAGCTGAAATACCATCTCTTCTGGTATCTTCAGTGACAAATAGGGAACTGAATCCAGGTGCACACCAAATGCAGACAAAAAGAGGTCCTGCTAATGACAACCACACCTTGTTGCCACCATGTCTTTATAATTTTTAAGGACCACATTCTCTTTGTCATCAAAGTAGAGAAGGTTGAGGGACTTCAATTGATCTGGCACACAGCAGGGCATGTTGACATCTTGAGACAGTTTCAGTGTATGGACAATGGACTGAACTGTAGCATGGTTTGTTGCATTCAGACTTTCCCCCAAAGGGAAGAGACAGGACCCTCTGCAATAAAATGCGTTGTATCCACTCGGATGAATAATCCATCCTGACCAGCCAATAGCACGGAAGTCTACATAGAGTTCCCTTCGATGACATGCTGTTACCTGGCTTTTGGCAGAAGGGACTGGGGCAGCTCGAGGTCTCCTGCCCATGCTTGCACTGCTGCTTTTGATGACATCAGTTTCATGAAGCACATGTGAACTATCAATTTTGTCAGGGTTTATTTCTGATTCTGAAAGGAAGTTCTGTGTTAATATTTCACAAATGAAATTCATTTACTAAGTACAGTATTTTGCATGAAAATACATTCCATAAATCTACATCAAAGCCTTCAGAGTAGATTTTGAAATGGCAGTTGACCTGTGAAAGTACCAGAAGGGGTGCGTATTCAATTGCCATTTCAGCCATATTTCCAAACCTGCCAAATCTTGCATTTAACTTTGTGTGAAAAAAGTACCCCAATTCAGCAGAAATAGAAAGGAAAAACTCAGTTATCTACAAAACACATTTTGTGAACTCCACAGTCCCTCTTCAGGGCTGAATCTGGTCAGAATGGTATTAACAGTCTTCATACAGCCACTCCTACAACACACATTATACTGAGCATTGTTAACTGAGGGTGGAGATCACAGCCTCTTTCTCTCCAGTATTCTCCCACAAACTCTACTGGTACACTTGCAAAACAGAGTGTGCAGTAACCCGATAATGTGTAAAGTAACATTTTAAAAAATATATTTTTCAATTTTTTGATCTGAAAAAATCACCACCAGGTTTACGGAACTCTGCTAAGGAATAAAGCTTACTGATAATAGGGTGCTTTCTGAAGTGTCTTCTGAGAAGCCTTGAGATCCACGGAGACCCCAAGATCCATCTACAGAGGCTGAAACTCACTGATATGTAGAAGAACAATCTGAGTAGTCACTGACCACAAACAACAGGCAGGTCTAGGGAGTTTCTTCATTGAGAAATTTCTCAGTCTTGGCACAGTATCCCATGCAGAGCTTGATTCTCAATTATTTGGGATCTAGGATTTCATTATTAATTTTTCTTTGGAGAACAAAAATAAACAGGCCAACCTCATTTTTATTTTTAATCAATTTCACTATCTACTTCTTAATTTTGATCCAAGTCCTACCTAGCTTCTTTCTGATATTCAAATACGACCGTTTACCAGAAAAGCCTGCAAAGCCAGAACTGCATTATTTTTGCCCTTCCTCCCAACTTTTGCTCTTTGCATTTATCAGACCCTAAAAATCCAGTCTGTGTTCGTTTTACAGGAAGAGTAGTGGGAGAGGTAAGACACTGTTTTGTAATTTAAGGCATAAGGGCGTTGTCTTTGATGAAAGCAGCCTTTTGTCACAATGCTAATTAGTCACTGAAGTTAAATAGGTGCTTAAAAACCAAGCCAAGGACAGAGAGGTTCAAATTGCTTATTTACAACCTCTTTCACTCTTGAAAATTACACTTAATAACTCTACTTACAGATACTTTACCAGCATTTTCACGAAGTTTTTCAAGCTTTTTCAGTCTAAACCTAATATACAATTTTCACCACCACAAAAATAATATAAATAGTACTTAAAAAAATAGAACACCCATCCCTTTACAAAAAAATAAACCAGGTTCCCCGTAGGCATTATGAATATTTCCTGCAAACTCAGTTTTTCTCAGGGGAGAGGCAACTTAAGATGCTGGGTGATCTACTGTCGAGAACTATCAAATTAAACTCTGATCAGTGACAAAGCTGAACTTCAAACATGCTCAACACTGCAAGTAAATAGCTGAGGTTAGGTATACATGAGGTAGCAGGAGGTATCAGAAGCTGAACAGACAGTTCATACTCTAAAACTCGAGTGAACTTACTTGTGGAGGACAGTACAAAGCTGGGAGACCTCTGTTTGTTACTGTTAGTGAAGAGAACAAGGAGAGCATTTCTACTCCCCTGCAAAGTGTCCTGGCTCTTGGCAAACTTAATCAGGTTGTGTTCAATTCTATTGTTGAATACGTGTGTCGTTGTTAACAATAAGCCATGGTTGGAGCTGCTGTTTCCAACCCACTTGGAAACCTGGTAGTGACAGGGAAGCAAAATAATATTGTTTCAATATTCCTATTACAGCATTATGATTAAGCAATGTTTATATTAGGAAAAGGGAACAGGCAACAAGCTATGAGAGTATAGGGATATATATTGTGACAGAATTGAGATAACTGTATAGCTGAGAGTCCACTGAGTTTAATATTTAAATCAGTAATTCAGCACTTAAAAATAGAAAATGTAAAAATACAAAATATGCATATCCCAAACCTATATTTACAGTAAGATAATTAATGTCACAGAATTTACCAGTGAATAAATGAGTGTAAGTATTAATATTAAAATAAACACTCTTTGACCTTCACCAGATATATATTTTTCATAGCAATCTCAACAGAATAATATGAACCCTCCAGACTTTTCATATCGTTAAGACTCATTTAAATTTAACAAATGTGGCATTTGAAGAAATTAACTTGCAATCAAGCATATTTTCTTATCTAATTGTTATAATTACACACTAATAGATAAGGCCAGGCCATTCTCAAGCAGGAATATCATGACTTAAGATGCAATTTGACCAACCATCCAAGCACACAGTTTAGTGGGATCATAAAGCTTAGGCAACAAAAACCACTGTCACAGAGTACAGTTTTAAACCCCCAAAAATGTTTGTCTTAAACCGTGTGTGGCTTTTTTTTGCCATGGAAAGGCGTTCACCTACTACCGTTACAGTTTATGGATATCTACAAAACAAATCTTGAAGCTAACAAATAAAGAAGTGTACAGAGAAAGTTAAATGAAAAGCAATCCAAGTAGTATAATAAATTCCAGAAACACAACGGCTGCTCTACAGAAATGTCGCCAGGATAAGAAGGAGAAATGAAAACTTACTTTTGGTACACTATCAATTGCAAATCCTTTGGCAGTCTAACGACTAACACATTATTGTTTTTATCACAACAACATACTTGGCCTGATGTCCCTCCATCGATTAGGTTTGGGTTACTCAATTCTCACCATGCCTGTGCTGCTAGCAGCATATAAACACTTCTTTAATTCAGGTAGCACCAGATGTACTTCTAAGTGTAGAGAGAAAGTTTCTCCCTCTTCAGTTTGAATTGACCACAAACCTCAGCATAATGGCAATGCTGGTGTTATGAGCTGTCACCGTAAGAGATTTAGAAATAAAGTGAAGTCAGACTTCTCTGCTTACTGTCTGCGTGACATTGAAGACTTCCCAGCCTTCTGTGTACAGGGACAATAATCTTGATGCAATTAGATGTTTTTTCTGTGGCTTACTTCCACTCTCCAAGAGCTCATACACTTCCACCTTGATAAGAGCAATACAACAAAAACAATAAGAAATTAATCCAATTGTTCTTCCAACAAAACAAGAAATATGAAGATTATGCACATTTCTGCTACATCATAATTGTAATTCTTTACCATCATTCTAAATAAGGCAAAAAGTAGGTTTTGGACTGGACAGTTTAACAGAGAAAACAATTATCACTACATACATGTACTTCTAGATGAGTTCAGAGGCAGGATGCCAAACTGTTTGGTACTACAGGAAAATAACCTGACCATTCCTATTCTATTTTGAACACCTAATACCTTCCAAGTATTCTGTTTCTCCACATCTTTGTCTTCCTTCAGGTTTGTAAAAAGTCCCATCCTGCTCTTCGCCAGAGAAATATACACTCAATATCAGAATCCTTATCCTCCCTGTTTTCTTATGAATCCCTGGTTGCTATTATTATTTTTCAGAACAACTCAAGCAGATAAAGTTCTACTCGAATTTGGAAATATCCAAAATCCCAGAAAAGTATGATATTATAGGTCTGACATTGGTATAGCACAATTAAGTGTTTACCTATTTTACCACTTACTTTGCAGAAGTGTTTCACGTCGGACCTTCTGGACACACGTGCCATCTTGAGCTTGAAGACCCTGAACTCTGCTTTCAGCATCTGCTCGCCCTTCTCCATCGCGCTGATGTCGAAGTAGAAGTGGTGCTGGTCCACGCGAACTGGAAAAGACCCTCCTTTGGGAACACGGCCAGCCCCGGCGGCACCAGCCGCGTACCGCCGCCGCGCTCTGACCCGTGTGGCCGCGGCCGGGCGGTGCGGGGGCGCGCAGCGGGCACGGCGCGCCGCTTCTGCGTGGGGATTCACTCCCCGCCCCACCTCTGTCTCGAAGCTCCGCACAACGTCTCCCTGCAGACAGCGGCGGGGCGCGGGTGACTGACGTTTGGCGCTCGGCCGCAACCTTGTTGGAAGAGATCCACCTGAAACTGGGCGGCGGCTTCTTGCGGGGCACGCACGTTCGGGCGCAGCTCCTCGATGTCGAACACCTCCGCAGCCGACTGGCAAAGCGCCGCTTTGCACCTCGCCCGCGCGGGCCGGGGGCCAGGGTCAGGGCGCTGGCGCCCGCAGGCATCAGCAGCGGCGGCCAGGCACAGGCGCAGCGGCCGGGCAGGGCGGCGGGCCGCCATGGACGGCAACCGCGGGCTCGGCCGAGGCGCCATCGCGGTGCCGCCGCGCGGCGCTGAGGGGCAAGCGGCCCTTGCGCGGGCCGGCCCGGCCCGGCCCAGCGGCTGAGCCGCGGCAGGCGGAAGTGCGCGGAGCCCGCCGGGCAGGGCGCGCAGGCCCTCCAGGACAGGGGCCCCGGGCATGGGCGGCCGCGCCGCGCCCCGGCCATCACAGGGCTCTTAAGGCTCGCATGGGGCATCGTCGTCTGACAATCAGAGGGACCGCCGGCCCGGTGGGGCGGGTGGCTCTGGCTGCCGGAGGCATGGTGGCCAGGGATGTGCGAGGAACACCGTACTCGTGAAAATACTGTCCATTACATCCACCTTCCTCTCCCCTCGAAAAAGGCTTTGATTTGGGCATTGCTGAGCCCAGGTGCTGTTTCCTGTCGTGGCCGCAGCAATGAAAAGTACAGTGGGCCACGGGCGTGAGCCTCGGCACCTCCCAGCCTGTGGAATCCCCGAGCCTCGGCACCTCCCAGCCTCGGGCAGCCGCGCCGGTGCGGGCCCCGCTACCAGGGCGGGATCTCCCAGCCTCGGGCAGCCCCGCCGGTGCGGGCCCCGCTACCAGGGCGGGATGGGCTAGGCTGCGGGACAGAACCTGCTGCAGTCACCTGAGTCTCCAACTCCGGCCCTACAGCTGCCCAGGGGGAGGGTTTAGGGACAGAGTCGGGGGTTCTGCTATTGCAGTGCAGCAAGAGCAGCCAAGGTTCGAAGTAATTAAGGATGGGGAGAGGCATACAGATTCTGGAGAGCAATTTTAGGGCTTAAATAAATGCAGAGTCAACCAGCTTTGAACAATTTGCTTTTTTCCCCCACCCACTGATTGATGAAGAGGATTCCACCCCCCCACCCCGTCCTGAAAAAAGCCCCAAAACAAATCCCCACAAAATCCCAAATCCCCAAAACACACCTACTCAAACCTTAAGCATTCTGCATACAAGTCCTTTTGAAGGCAGTCTGGCAACTTAGAGAGCAGCAATTATACATTCCTGATGGTTCATACAGTAGTGCCTGTTCTGCTTGTGACACACTGCACTGTGTTCCCTTTCCAGGCAGGAAAGCAGTGGGAGGCAGATTGTGGGGCAGGTAGAAATGTCTACTGGCTGCTCTGCTCAGGTGCACTATGTTAGGAATATTTGCACTGAGCAAGCATGTGGATCCATAGGAGAATAAGGTGGAGACAAAGACGCTACAGCTCCACGCAGTCCCAAATTAACCATTTGAAAACAAAGTTTCATCTGGAGTGTTGAAACAGCTCTGACAGAGAAAGCACTCACCTCGTGTCGTCCTAATGCTGAAGTTCCTTGGCCCTTGGCCACTGGGTTCTCCAGACTCCCTCCTACTGTTGTTCATTCCAGCCTTCAGCTCTTGTAGCCATGTTTAAAAAAATATGGATAGTTATAAATGTTATGTTTTTGCCTTTCCCCCCTTTTTTTTGTTTGTTTGTTTTGTTTGTTTGTTTTTTCCACCAGGACACAAGGCTGCTGATCCAGTTTGCCACATGGGGTGCAGAAGACTAATGGAGGAAAATGAGAAGCAGTGGTAGGTTAATCAGACCAGTGTAAAAAGAAAACTGTTGCTGTACATAAAGCTTCATCCAACCTTGATTCTCAAAACTCTCTAGTTGTCTTCTAAGGGCTGTAGGCATCTGAATTAATGGCTAAGAAATGATGGATGAAATAATACCCATTCAGCTACCTGCCTGAAAGCACAGGAAGAGACTAGTAAGATATGAGAGATCATCTATGATCTCTCATCCTATGATCAGTCATCCTAAAAGCTTTGCTTCCGCTTCACTGCTTCTTCACATGCTTATCCTCACAAACCCTACCCTGCCCTTGGGTTTCTTAATTTACTCCCAGTACCCTCCCTAGGCATATACCTTCAGTTTTACTCTCATGGTGCTGCTTCTAGACATTAATGTCTGGAAACACATAGCTAGGGTTCCCAAACAACCTTAACTCTGCCCTAGAGGCGAAGATTTATGAAAAAAATCCTCTCTGTTTAATATAAGCTGGGACCACAAACAATGAAATGCCTCAATCGTAGTGCAACTGCAGAAATTCCAGTGTACAGTTAGCCAAACGTAACCCACTGAGTGCTGTGTTCTTTTATTTTCATATTTCTGATTAGGCAAACAACATAATGAAAGCCTCTCTCTATTCTTTCCTAAGACTGCATGACTCACCACTTATGTAAGCCTTATGCAGGAGTTGGTCATAGCTCCTCTGATGATACTACGGACTGGTTTGTAATTAGTGCGAGGCTCCAACCTCCCAGTTCTGTACAATAAAAATAGGTTCTCTCAACTTACATGTTGTGAGCAGTGTGGCTTTGGGAGCCCAGGAAAAGCTGGGAATCTCTCAGGAACTATGATAGACAGTTAACAACTTAAAATGTTGGGTGGATTCTCTAGAGTTCAGCATTGGCATTGCTTTCCCTTCTTTCTCTCTCAAATGACTGGATAAAGAGTCTGTAGCCTGAAGAGTTCACAATCATCTGGTTTTCAGGTATAGCTTATGGGTAAGAATGGTGGGATTATATAGCCTGCCACATCCTCTTTGATGCCATTAATTACTACAGGATGGCAATATTGAAAAAGCATGGTTATTGCATGGTATTAGCAGTGGGCAGAACAAAATTTACTTAGGAGCTTTCACTGTACATTTTAGAACCTTAGCAAGTTTGGACTTAAAGGCAAGTCCAACCCTGCCATTCAGAAATTAAGAGCTCAGCATATACCCTCCCTTCCTCCATTAGTTTTGTGTTGGCACAAACAATAAGAGCTAGTGGGTAGAGAAGGTTGGAAGTTGCTTCTTAACACAGCTGCCTAACAATTCATATGTTTTCTGTGCAGGTTCTGTAGTTCCTAGTTTAGTGACTCACAACAGAGGTATTCTTTTTGAGGAAAAAAAAAAAGATTAGTTTTCTGCTCCCTGAATGCAGCAGTGATACACTGCAGTCATCCCTGGGTTTTTCAGGCAGAGAGTAAGAACATAAGGTGTTTCACTCACTTCATAATAGCTGTCTTAGGTCCATTTAAAAAAGAAAAGTGGAATGGCCCTTGTGTGAAAGACGTCAGTCTTCTCTTAAAGATAGTAGAGGCAGCAGAAACAGGGCTACCTGTTAACAAAAGTTAAGAATTACTAAGGAAAGCTTCATCTCCTATGTCTCAGCTGAAGGCACAGGACTGTACCACATCAGCGAAACTGTGTGAAGTAGGAGTGGTGACATCACCCCAGAGCCCAGAATAGCAATCCCTGGAGGACTGGGTAGATGGAGAGCCACTGAGTCAGTAAGCATATATTCAGCATTTAGCTTGAATGTTTGAACAGGGAAATTATAAATGGCCCTAAGTAGCAGAGAGTGTTTTTACCATGTATCTAATATATAAATACCTCTCCCAGAGGAGATAAACTCCCAAGTGCAGACTTGCCAGCATATCCTGACTCCTAGACATGTGCCCTATGCAAGCCCTTCAAAGACTGGACTCTCAGCAGTTTTGTATGAGAGTTTCGTAAATTAGAGTTGCTGAATTAATAATCTAGACAATAAGATGCCATATTACCTGTGTTTTTCCAATCAGGACTTCTTCGTACTGTGCTATAATTTCCTGAAGCATTTTTGAAGAAAGATGTATTGCTTCCCCCAGATGACTGTATCCATCAGATGGAGAAACCAATGCAGCATGCATTATAGTGCTGCATCCAAAGTCACCCAGAGGTTTATAGCAGGAGAATCCAGAGATCCCTGCTTCTAAAAGACCAAACAGGTAGATTATTCCATACTTTAAATCATCTCAGCAACTATGTTACCTTATTTAAAACATGAGGAAAAATTAGGAAGGACATAAATAATTTCTTGGCCCATACATCAAGAGTAAGCCAAATTTTGATGTTGTTACAGGGTCTCTTCACATCTAATTTTTTTCACCATCTTTATACATCATTTGAGAAAGCACAGTCACCACCCGCACAAGACACACTGCACCATCCTTTCTTGCTGAATCACTGGGATATGGCAGTTCTTCAACACCTCCTCCATCAAAGAGAAAACTGCCTAAACTGTAATGATTAGATTTTACATAGGAGTCACACCAATATGCAAAAAGAATCCAAGTCGGATACTACTCCACCAGTTTAATTATCCATCTACTCAGATCCTTCTTTTAAAATTATCTTATGTTGGAGAAACAGAAAAGAACAAACATTAATCAAGTTACTGTTTTCTCTAAGATTGTTTTGTCAAATTAGTTGCTTAAGCTACTGTTTCCTGTGACAGCTTTCCCTGAGGGATACATCCTATAATAATAACTTTCACACTGCTCTTTCTAGTAATCTGATGCCTGCCTGGATATCTCCCTCACTGAAAAAGTATGATAATAACATTATATGTGTATAGTTTTTGATAGATCTTAATGTGTAACATTTAAAAATCTATCAGAAAATTCCCTCCCTCCCCACCAATGCTCTT